TTCAAGGTTGATAGAAGGGCCCCACTTTTCTATGTTAGAATAGGATTATCCAGCTTATGTACTTACACTCTACTTCGGTCATGGAAGTTGTTCAGGGCCCGCTCATGTTGTAATAAAAACATTTCTACACACAAACAACAGGAGGCTTACCTGTACAAGATAGGCAAGCGAGTCATCCTCCAAATCACCAAAGATTGGCCGTCGCGGTTGTGACTTGGACCTCGATCTAGTCACGGTCGGAGGTCTCTGTTGTATCGGGATGACTGGCTGACTTGAAGTTCCTTCAAACATCGCCTTCGGCCTCATCTCGTATTGCAGATGTGCATCTTGTGGAACCTCGTACGGTTGTGGTTGCTGTTGTACTATGTAACGGACCCTACTACTCCCGGTCATGGGCATAATTTGCGACGGCTCCGGCCGGACAGCATGTTGGGGAAGAGACCTAACATAGGTTGGCATGCCCCTGACCACTTGTCGCGGAAGGTTCTGGATGTACTCGGTAGGCTCAACTTGAGGTTGCATCATTTCATCCACCACCACTTCATGTGCAGCTACTTGTAAGCTTTCTACTGATTCCGTCATTTCATTGAAATCGCGCTCTTCGTCAGGCATCAAGTAAATCTCATCACCAGTAGTAAGTATTTGCTGCAAGAACCTAATTACTCGACCTTCACATTCTACTCGTACTCTGCTTTCTAACCTGACTGACTGTCTGCATATCTCCATACTGTATGTCTTCAAAAGAAGTTGCTATGTCCTCTTGGTATATGATATCTGACAAAGGTTGGACCCAAACACTGTCTTCAGCGACCATGTAGTGAGGCATGGCCACTGATGGCTGACCAACCGGCCCTCCACTTGTGGACGGATCCACTTGTTCGACAAATAGCCCATCCCCGTCCATGGTCCCTCCAGGATCGATGTCATGGTCACTGGACATCCTGAAGCAGCTGTTTCAAGTAATATGAAGAATCTACAGCGGCGCATGTTTCCTTCTGTTGGGCCGACTTTGGAATTGGTAGGTTGGACTGCTCTCGCAAAATTTTGGTAGGCACGAGAAAACCAGCGAAAAGGGCATTGCCTGCTATATGGCGACTAGTGACCTTGCGAAAGTGAATTTTACCAGTTCCAGCTGAGACAAAATGAGTAGTTCACAAATTTCCCTAGCTTCAAAAATTATTATCTCTTCTAGGAAAATAAGAACCGTTTCGAAAAGCGCGAAAGCCTCAAATGCGAAATTACCTTGAAACAGAAAAATCCGCGGTGTCTTTCGACAGCAATCATTCAACGTCGTTTTTCCGACTCAGCGTTCACTGTTTCAAAGGCAACGAAATATATCTAAATAAGGCAGGTTACTATCAGTAGAATAAATATAAAA